TTACTTACTGGTGGCATTTTAGGCACTTTCACTGAAGGAAGAATGGAGTTTCCTTGAGAAATGTGAAACCCACATTGAAGCTGGTTCATTTGGCTGCCTGAGAAGGTGGAGGCTGTGGTGGTGGTGATGATGGTGGAGAAGTGGAGCCAGGAGGAGGCTGGATGCTGCACCAAGGCAGTGCCTGTCGCTTGGTCTTTGGTCAGCCTGGTATCTGTGAGATGCTCCCTGCCTCCTGCACTGTGGGTGCCAACCCTCCTCCTTGCATGTCTGAGACGCCCCTGCCCACAGCACTGCAGTGACCCCTCAGGTAGAGCCTTCATCCCCTCTCCTCCCGCATGTGAAGAGCAGAGGCCTAGGAGGGGTGCATGCTCCGGGTGGAGAGCAGGCCTGGCATGGGCTCAGGGGACTGGGCTCCTGTGAACTTGATCATCTCACTTGATCGTGCCCCAGGCTCCTTGTTGTAAAGCAGGGACAATAATGGAGCCCACCATCTAGGACTGTCATGAGAGCATAGTGGCTAAGCTGGGCCACAGTTCAAACGTGTCCACAAACCTTCATGTGCTGGAAGCTTAATTGACAAAGTAACAGTATTGAGAGGTGGGCCTTTATGAGGTGACCTGGGCATGAGGGCAGGGGCCTTGTGAGTGGATTAGCGCCTTTCTCTTGGGGTGAGTGAGTTCTCATGAGAACAGGTTGTTCCACAAGCAAGCTGGGCTGACTCTTGTGGTCTCTCTCACATGTACTTGCTTCCCCTCCCACTTGCCTGCTGTGTTTGAAGACAGTGTGAGAGCCTGTCCAGAAGCTGCCGCCCTGCCCTTAGACTTCCCAGCATCCAGAACCTGAGCCAAATAAAGTTCATTTTTAAAAAATTACCCAATCTCAGGGATTCTGTTATTGCAACAGAAAATGAACCAAGACCTATGCTTATAACACACAGCATAGCGCTTGCCACGAACCAACGCCTGTTAAATAAATAAGTTGGTGGGTGGGTGGGTGCGGTTGTCATGCGTGTCCTTGCCCTTGGGGTTGGTGTTAATGTGTTATGGTTGATATGTTACTGTTAGTGTGGATGTCAGTGTGGTTGGTGTGCCGGTCTCCATGTTGCTGTTATTAGTGGTTATGTCAGTGTTGCTGGTGTGCTGTGGTTGGTGCATTGTTGTTAGTGTCTGTGTGAGTGTTGCTGGTGTGTTGTGGCTGGTGCATTGCTGTTAATGTGTGTGTGAGTGTTGCTGCTGGTGTGTTGTGGTTAGTGCATGGCTGTTAGTGTCTGTGTGGGTGTTGCTGGTGTGTTGTTGTCAATGCTGTTATCAGTGTTGTTGTGTGTTGCTATGGTATAGTTAGTTGTATTCTAGTCCATGTGCTGTGGTCAGGGTTGGCATTGCCAGTGTTGGTGTTGGTGGTGTTGGTGTGGTGTTGTTGGTGTTGTTTGTGTTGGTGGGTGTGGTGTTGTTGGTGTTGATGGTGTGGTGTTGGTGGTGTTGGTGTTGGTGTGGTGTTGTTGATGTTGGTGTTGGTGTTGGGGTGTTGGTGTGTTGGTTTGGTGTTGGTGTTGTTGGTTTGGTGTTGGTGTTGATGGCGTGGTGTTGGTGTTGTTGGTGTTGGTGTGGTGTTGTTGATGTTGGTGTTGGTGTTGGGGTATTGGTGTGTTGGTTTGGTGTTGGTGTTGTTGGTTTGGTGTTGTTGGGGTTGGTGTGGTGGTGTTGGTGTTGGCATGGTGGTGTTGGTGTTGGTGTTGGTTTGGTGGTGTTGGGGTTGGTGTGATGTTGTTGGGGTTGTTGGGGTTGGTGTGGTATTGGTGTTGATGGTGTGGTGTTGGTGTTGTTGGTGTTGGTGTGGTGTTGATGTTGGTGTTGGTGTGTTGATGTGGTGTTGGTGGTGGTGGTGGATGTGGTGGTGTTGGTGTTGTTGGTTTAGTGTTGTTGGTGTTGGTGTGGTGTTGTTGGTGTTGGTGTTGGTGTGGTGGTGTTGGTGTTGGTGTAGTGGTGTTGGTGTTGGGGGTGTTCATGTTGGTGTGGTGTTGGTGGTGTTTGTACTGGTGTTGGTGTGGTGTTGATGTGGTGTTGTTGGTGTTGGTGTTGTTGGTGTTGGTGTTGGTGTTGGTGTCATGTTGGTGTGGTGTTCTCGGGGCTGTTGTCCATATGTTGCTCTTGGTACTGCTGTAGTTGATGTCATCAGTGCTGCTGCTGGTGCTGGTGTCAGTGCTGCTATTGGGGTGCTGTGGTCAGTGTCACTGCAGTCAGCATGTTTGCCTTATCTGGATTGTGTCTGGTGCAGGGAAGATGTCCACAGTGTCCACAGTGTCCCCTGGGTGGCTGGACCCTCACCATGCCCTGTGTGTTGGCAGAAGCATCAAGCATTATTCTCTTTTTATGGATGAAGAAACAGAAACAGAGCAAGTCTCCGTGGTTCCTCCATAGTCACACAGCAAGTGGGTGCAGAGCTGGGAGCACAACCTGGGCACCTGGTCCCTGGCTTGAGGCTGGGTCTGCTTGCCACAGGGAGACAATTGACTCTCTGCCTGCCCAGCTGGTATCTTAATGACACATATTTCATGGAAAATTGTAGATGGATGACTTGGGCATTCTTTCCAGAGAAGCTGTCAGTTCAGATTAGGCTCCAAGGGTGACCACACAGTTGGTAGATGTCACATAAAAATGATAATAACATTTGCATTTCTGAGGGCATCCATTATGTCAGGAGAGGTGGGCAAGGGCCCTTTGGAACTGGCTAGTGACCTGTCTGTCCCACTCCACTGTTCTCCATCTGTACAGAATGAGGGTGCTGGGGTCAGAGTCTCATCACATGCTGGTATGGGCTGGTGACACGGGAAAGAAGGTGGCTTGGATTCTATTGGCTGTGGTGTCTTCTTCTCAAGGCTGGCAGGTGACAGTGAGCTGGAAGTGACGTTTCCTGGGATTCCTCCTCACTGTGGCTGGGCTGAGGCTTGTGGGAGCAGAGGTTAGGCAAGGAAGACATGTTTCCCAGGGGTCGAGGGCTTAGCTCCTTGGCTTTAGTGGCGTCTCAGTCCCCGGGCCACTTTTGGCATCCCAAACCCTTGCCGATGTCTGCGCTGTTCCACCCCCACCTCCAGACATATGGAGACACTCCCCCTCTTGTTTGTCCAAAGTAATAGCAAATATATACGATTGTATACAAAAAGATGCTACACTTATTTAGTCATTCTGCAAACACATAGTGATTCTGAAGGTAACATACATGTGTGGAACATTTTGCAGAGAAGTGTCAGTGAAGGCCTCCCTGAAGGTGACCTGTAGGCAGGGAGTGAAGGGTGAAGAGGTGTGATCCAGACAGTGGGCAGAGCACTTTGGGGGTCCCAACCTGCAGAAGAATGGCTCCTTCCATAGCTGGCAGGTCTGTGCAGTGGGGCAGAGGCGTCCAGGGGGAGAAGATGGGAGATGGAGGGGTGGGGTGGATTCTCATCTCCAAGGTCAAGGTCATCATGACTTGAGCAGCAGAGACCAGACAGGGTTCCCTGTGGCCTGGCCTCCTGTCCTCACCTCCCCAGAGCCTCTCTTTCCTGTGCCTGCTGCCAGCAGGCCATGTAGAGGCCATAGGCCCCAGATGGAGGTGGCAGCCTCTCCTCTCCTCCAGGGGTGTAAAGCAGAGGAAATTGAGCACTGTGGAAGACACTTGGCATGCTGTCCACTGCCCTGCAGGACTGAGCCACTCACCACCGCTGCAGGGAGTGCCCCAGGTGACTGCTCACAGCTGCCCCTCTCCAAGCACCGCCTGGGTCCAAGCCACATCCAATGACTCTTTCTGGCCAAAGGCCCTGCTCTCAATTTGGAATGAGTCTGCACGGCTATTGCAGCCCCAAAGCTCCCCATGGGACAGGCCGAGGCCTCTGGCAAGTGTGCCAGAACTTGACTTCTCCCTCTGCCTGGTCCTGTCTCTCCCTGGCTCACAGTCATCACTCTAGAGTGCACTCTGCTGTAAAGCCCCTGCACACAAATCTGTTTCAGAAGCCTTCTAGGGAGCCCAATCTAAGACACCCATTAGGGAGCAAACCACAGAGGCCTCAGCAGCAGGGAGCACTGGGATTGGTGTGGGGTAGGCAGGCTCAGCAACTGGCCAGCACTTCATGGGTGGACTGAACCATGGGTGGCTGAGACAGGAAGGGGTGAAGCTCTGTGGCAGGAGGGTGTGGGGCAGAACACTGGAGATGCAGTGGCCCACGCCCTGCTGCTGAGATGCACCACAGGTGCATAGGTGCACAGACCAGCAAGAGAGGCTGCCAACCAGGGGCAAAGGGTGAGTGTGTCCAGGCCACCACCAGAAGCCCACAGAGTCTCTCATCAGTGCAAAGGATGATCCTGACATCTCTATGTCTCCTAGGCTATTTCAGCAGAGTGGAGGACCCATGGGGATTGAAGGCTGATAATCTCCTAGGAGTAAAGAGTGAAGAGTGTGCGGCACCAAAGCGACCAGTGCCTGGATGAGAGGACATTCCTGCAGGAGAGGTGAGAGGCCCAGCCCAGAGTGAAATGACGACTGGTGATTTGAAAGGTGGAGATAGAGGTGATGATAGCTCAGTCCTTCAACTGTTTGTTGAGAATATCTGTCAACTATTGTTGGCATATGCCAAGATGTGTCAAGTCCTGGGAACATAATGGTGGAACTGATCTTTCTGATAATAACTGTGGTCATGTTGAAGTTAGTGACCCAATAAAAGTGTTCCTGGTGATACTGATTTGATGGTGGTGATAGTAGTGGTGGTAGCGGTGATAATGGTGGTGGTGATGGTGGTGATGTGGTGGCCAATTGGCAATGGTGATGGTGGTAATGGTGATGGGTGATGATAGGATGGTAGGGGTGGTGGTGATGCTGCTGATGATGGTGGTGATGTGGTGACGGTGGCAATGGTGGTGGTAATGGTGATGGTGATGAGCGGATGGTAGAGGTGGTGGTGATGCTGCTGATGATGGTGGTGATAGTGGTGGTGGGATGGTGGTGACAGTGATGATGGCGGTGGTAGGATAGTGGTAGTGGTGGTGGTGGTGATGGTGGTGGTGGTGATGATTTTAATGGTGGTGGTAATAGTGGCAATGGGAATAAAATTGGTGGTAAGAATGGTGGTGGTGGTATGTGGTAGTGATGGTGATGACAGTGATGGTAGGATGGTGGTGATAGTAATGGTGGTGGTAGTCATGGTAATAGGATGGTGGTGGTAGGATGATGGTGATGATGGTGACCATTAGTATGGGATGGTGGTGGTAGGATGGCGGTGGTGGTGGTGATGATGGTGATGGTGGTGGTGGTGTGTGGTGGTGATGGTATTAGTAGTGATGGTAGGATGGTGGTGGTGGTGATGGTGGTGGTGGTATTGTGGTAACAGGATGGTGGTGGTAGGATGGTGGTGATGGTGGTGATGGTAATGATGGTGGTGGTAATCATAGTAAGAGGATGGTGGTAGTGGTGGTGGTGATGGTGAGGATGGTGAGTGGTATTGTGGTAATAGGATGGTGGTGTGCAGATGGTGGTGGTAGGATGGCGGTGGTGGTGGTGATGGTGGTGATGGTGGTGGTGGTGTGTGGTGGTGATGGTGATGACAGTGATGGTAGGATGGTGGTGGTGGTGGTGGTTGTGGTGGTGGTGATGGTGGTGGTGGTATTGTGGTAACAGGATGGTGGTGGTAGGATGTGGTGGTGATGGTGGTGATGGTAATGATGGTGGTATTAATCATAGTAATAGGATGGTGGTAGTGGTGGTGGTGATGGTGAGGATGGTATGATGGTATTGTGGCTAATAGGATGGTGGTGGTAAGATGGACAGTGGCCAGGATGTGGTGGTGGTGGTGATGGTGGTGGTAATCATAGTAACAGGATGGTGGTGGTGGTGGTGATGGTGATGATGGTGGTAGTATTGTGGTAATAAGATGGTGGTAAGATGGTGGTGGTAGGATGGTGGTGGTAGGATGATGGTGGTGGTGGTGATGATGGTGATGGTGGTAGTGGTGTGTGCTGGTGATGGTGATGACAGTGATGGTAGGATGGTGGTGGTGGTGGTGGTGGTGGTGGTGATGGTGGTGGTGGTATTGTGTTAACAGGATGGTGGTGATGGTGGTGATGGTGATGGTGGTGGTAATCATAGTAATAGGATGGTGGTAGTGGTGGTGGTGATGTGATGGTGGTGGTGGTATTGTGGTAATAGGATGGTGGTGGTAGGATGGTGGTGATAGTGATGATGGTGGTGGTAATCATAGTAATAGGATGGTGGTGGTGGTGGTAGTGATGGTGATGATGGTGGTGGTATTGTGGTAACAGGATGATGGTGGTAGGATGGTTGGTGGTAGGATGGTGGTGATGGTGATGATGGCGGTGGTATTGTGGTAATAGGATGGTGGTGGTAGGATGGTGGTGATGGCGGTGATGGTGATGATGGTGGTGGTAATGATAGTAATAGGATGGTGGTGATGGTGGTGATGGTGATGATGGTGGTGGTAATGATAGTAATAGGATGGTGGTGGTGGTGGTGGTGATGATGGCGATGGTGGTGGTGATATTGATGACAGTGATGGTAGAATGGTGGTGGTGGTGGTAATAGTAGGCATGGTGATGATGACTATATAATGGTGATAATGTGCTTGTGGAGGTGGCTGTGTTAACGACACACACGTGCATCTGATGCCAAATGCTTCCTGGACTTCTGTTTGCTCCTGGGCTCTTTTCCATCCCAGCTCTTCACCAGAGGGAGTTTTCATTTCCTGAGAGGGTGGCTGCTCTGATTCCATCAGTGACAAATGGAAGCTCGGGGAGTAGGAGGATGGAAATCCTTATCTATTAATTGGTTTTCAGCCTCTCCAGCCCCCTCTGGTAATGACCCTTCCAGTCTCTGCCGTTATCTCAGTGCCTCTTCATGTACTGCTAAGTTGAGCTTAATCGGGCCATTAGCCCAGGCGCAATGTGAAGCCTCTCAGTCAGGATCCACTGGGAGAACAGCAGTGTCTCTGAGCAAGAGAAGGTGGAGGGGGGCCGGAAGAGGGGTGTCCAGGAGATCCCTCAGTGGTACCAGCAGAAGCTGGATCTGATGCTGAGGGTCAGCCACACGCACCAGAAATGGTAGTTGAGGGTGCTGTCTGCAATGCCCAGTGGCCAGGGCATGGACCGGAGGACTGAGACACACATAGACCCTCACGTTCAGAGGTGGCCCATAAGGATGGCCACCCCAGGCCTAGGGAGACCAACAGTCATTGCTAAAGGGCTTGTTCCCAGACTCAGGGGTGAGGGAGGAGAGTTAGGGCTGTAAAGGGAAAGGCCCTGCAGGGCTGGGAGCCAGAGAGACAGCCAAACAGGGACCCCCTGGGTGGACCGTGCAGGCGGGTCCTAAGAGGAGAGCATATGGAACATGGGTCCTGGAGCCATTACGAGAGCGCCCGCACAGGGAGGTGTGAGCTGCACACAGGGACCCTGTTCATTAGGAGTGGGAGACGCCGCTCCTGGTTGGCGGGTGTGGCGGGTGGCTGAGGGATCTAGATCTGATGCTGGGTGTGATCTTCCAGCCGGAGAACCGTTGAAGGACGATTCTCAGACTGTGGGAGGCAGCCAGCCCACATTATCACCACAGCCAGGAGGGTGGTGCCACCGAAGCCCCAGGGGTGGTGTCACTGGGCCATGCTAACGTGCAGGGGCTTAGTCTCACCCCAGAGAGGCAGGTGAAGTACGGGCGGTGCACCCTGATGTGTGTGGGGGCCGAAGCTATGCTGGTTCTCACCGGGTCCCTTTGTAGAGTTTGTGTCTGGGTTTCCTTTAGGGACTGCCTATGCCCTCTTTCATGCAAGCAAGTGCAGAGACTGGACCTTGGTGGCCTCCTGTTGGGAGAGTCCCCTTTCCCAGGGAGCCCTCGTGGAACCCAGGAGGAAGGCAGGGGAAGGCTGGCTTGGCCGGCTTGGCTGGGACTGCAGGGCGTTATGTTGTCGTCCTTTGGTTTGACGCACCGTCAGAACTGCCGCATCCCCAGGGCTGCCCAGCCAGTCCCTTGCCGGGCTCCAGGAGTCGTGGTTGCTCACACGTGGCCCAGTCCTCCCAGGTTTGGGGCCAGTGCCCCAGCTTTTAATAGTGTGAGCAATTACATGGGAAACTGAGGCAGGGCTGGCAATGGAGGGATTTTGAGCTGATGTTAGCGCGATCTTCTAGCCTGTGACTAGTTAAAGGACAGTTCTTAGACTGTGGGAGGCAGAGTGGATCCTCTATGCACAGACGATGTTATGAAAGCACAAAGCACATCTACACACTTTATCCTGCTGGATACAAAGCAGGAAGCAGCCTACAGGCCAAGGCGGGACAGAGGCTGGGTGAATGAGCAAGGCACACCCAAGAGAGACTCGGCAGGGTCCCACTCCTCTGCCCTCAGACCCAGATCACACACCCTGGTGATAACCACGGAGGCCACCCAGCTGAAAATGTGCCCAGGGATGGCCCAGTGTTTCCAGTCCGAGGGGCTTGGGTTTGAGCCCCAGCTCTGTTTCTGTGACCTGTATCCACATATTCACACATGAGCAAGCATTAGGGGAGTGCTTCTGTGTACTGGTCATGAGCTGAGCCTGGCGTGGCATGGTGAGGAAGCTGGCATGACTCCTGCCCTGGCAGGGTGGAAGTCCAGTGGAGATAGTGGTAAAGCAAGTGAGTGAGGACGTGGTTGTGCAGTTGCTGATGGCAATAGCAGCATCAAAGGAGACGGTGCCCAGCTCTGGGAAGGGCTCTCCCAGGAGGGAGATTCCTGCCAGTCATGGGGAAGGCAGGAAGGAGCTGGCTGAGTGGGGCCCAACATTCGATGGCCTGTGACGGATGCCACCCCTTATGGAGTGGGTGGAGTGGGTGGACGATGGCGGCCCAGTAGAGCCAGTGGGGGGACAAATGAGACCTGCATATGCTCTGTTGGTCCCAGCCCCGCCACAGTCTCAGCTCAACACAGACGACAGACCCTTCCTTCTGACTGCACCGCCCATCTGGGGAACCTGCCTTGATGAAAGGTGACTTGAAGGTGGTAATGCCTTAACCCACAGGGAGGAGTGGGTAATGATGGCATTCCATCCAGTGTTGCCAATATCAATCTGGGGGCCTCAAGGGGCGGCGCTTGACCCCACCGCAGCTGCTGCTGCTCCAGAGGGTGTTCCTCAGCCCAGAAGGCTGGATTGAGTCTGGGAGACCCCGCATGCAGCCGGCAGAGGCGGGAGGCCTGGGGAACGGGACAGCTGTGCATTGGATTCCAGTGGCTAAGCCAGGACTCAGGAGGAAACCCTCACTTGTATGGGAAGCGCCAGGGGCAGCTGTCACTGCAGAGAATGAATTGTCAAGGAAACAGACCTGTTCTGACACATGGCAGAGGGAGGGCACTGTAGGTTGTTGTAAGCACAGGGAATTGGACTGGAAAGCAGGGATGGACAAGCTTTCGTGCTGTCATTGTCACCTTTGCCATCACTGCTATCACCATTTTCAGTCACCAAATGGCCCCTGGACCATCACTGTCACCACAAAAGCCAGCTGTAGCTATGCTGTTATTATTACCACCTTCCCTGTATTCCATACTTTCCATCCACCCATCCCTCCATCCATCCACCTATTCACCTATCCACTCACCCACCTGTCCATCCATTCATCCATCCATCCATCCATCCATCCATCCATCCATCCATCCATCCATCCAT